CCCAAATCCCCAAATCCCCAAATCCCCAAATCCCCAAATCCCCAAATCCCCAAATCCCCAAATCCCCAAATCCCCAAATCCCCAAATCCCCAAATCCCCAAATCCCCAAATCCCCAAATCCCCAAATCCCCAAATCCCCAAATCCCCAAATCCCCAAATCCCCAAATCCCCAAATCCCCAAATCCCCAAATCCCCAAATCCCCAAATCCCCAAATCCCCAAATCCCCAAATCCCCAAATCCCCAAATCCCCAAATCCCCAAATCCCCAAATCCCCAAATCCCCAAATCCCCAAATCCCCAAATCCCCAAATCCCCAAATCCCCAAATCCCCAAATCCCCAAATCCCCAAATCCCCAAATCCCCAAATCCCCAAATCCCCAAATCCCCAAATCCCCAAATCCCCAAATCCCCAAATCCCCAAATTCGATTCACTAAACAGCCACATCTATTTGCAGATCGAGTTCAACCATGGAAAATGAAGGATCTCCTCCAGCCGTAAGTACAACAAACTTTCAAACAACTTTGAAATTTGCAATGAAATTAATTTACAATTCAACAAATTTAGATCACAAATGAACCAGAAGGTATACGAGGATGGATAGAATCTGTGGTACTGACAGCGTCACAAACCTCTGTTGGGCAAACGTTGTTCAAACTTCTTGATTCCTTCTTGTGGGTCGTTGAGAAATCTGCACAATGGAGTCTGCCATCGCACGAAATCGCTGCAGGTATGATTGCTAATTTTCAACAGCTCATTTTTTGAATCCATTTTGTGGAAATTATTGTTTCACTTCTGAATCTTTTTTCAGAGGAAAATGGAAAGGTGTTTGGGAAGATAGAACTGGTTCGACCTCTGCCATGGGTTCTTTTTCTACCAGGTTTGGTGATTCTGCGCATCATCAGGGTTAGCTTGAACGTTGGGGCCTTTGTTCTGGGATACCCGAGGATGCAACCGAGTGGAATGGTAACTTCCAATTAAATGGATTTTTATTCTTTTTATACTGTTACACAGAAAGTAAATCTATCTTAGAAAATAAACATGACCTGAGTCAAGATTGACAGTGTTCATATGAGACCATATATTTAATACTGAAGTCTTAATGACTCAAAATTAAATAGTATTTTAAAATATTTTAGTTAAATAGTATATTAAAGTATTTGTAATAATTTAAAGAACGAGTTACATGAATCAAACACCTAATTTGAAATATTCTTCCAGGTGAAATTCGTTCAGAAAGGTCGCAGACGACTGAGGGCCTTCAACCTGAAAGCAGTGAAGTCCGTAAGACGTTGCAACAAGGTAATCTTCTTTTTCTCCTCCAGAATTTTCTTCGTACATTCTGCTCCTTAATCCACAAATTCTTCGAGCAATTTAATTCTCCAGAATATTAGAAAGTAGCCGAGTAGTTGTGTGTTTGTGAAATTAGTTTATAGAGAGATCATTAAAATTAGCACGATAATAGTCTCGGTGATGGATGTAGGACAAGAGAGCGACGATGATCGAGGCTAAGAAGGCCCTGATCAAATCTATCAGACTGACCCTGTCGACCTTGTCTTGTTTGGACGCTAAACCGTCTCGGTCACCTCCTCCGGCTAAAATTCGTGTAGGCAACATGGAACTTGAGACGGTAAGCGATAAATTTGTGTAATGGACACTGTTGTAACTTAATACTTACTGTTTTTAATGATCAATAGTGTACTGTAACTTAATATTTACTGTTTTTAATGTATTGATAGTGTATAGCTGTGTACAATCCTTGATATTGTGTAACAGTGCTGTATGTTTAGTGTTTACTTACTGTGTTGTTTTGTGTATTATATTACAATAGTGTACTTGACATTCCGAATTACGTATAGTAGTTAGTCGGTATAGTATAATTGTACTTTCATTGTATTCTGATACATATTATTAACATTATATTACTGTAATAATGTATGTATTCTAACTATACAGGATGTCTCACAACTAGTACAACCCTGAAATGGAGGTAGACGTGATTCTGAATGAGTTTTCCCTTGCAAAAATACAACGTATAGTATATTCAACGCTTGGCGAGTGCAACGCGTAAGAAATCAATGCGTGGTGAATGTAACGCGTGGTAAATACAAGGCGTGGCAAGTACTATGCGTGGTAGGTGCAGCACGTTATAAGCAACGCGTGATAAATTCAATGCGTGGTAAATACAACGCGTGATAAATATAATGCGTGGTCAATACAACGCGTGGTAGGTGCAGCACGTGGTAAGCAACGCGTGGTAAGTGCAGCACGTGGTAAATACAACGCGTGGTAAGTGCAGTACGCGGTAAAGAACGCGTGGTAAATACAGTGCGTGGTCGCGTGGTAAATACAATGCGTGGTAAATACAACGCGTGGTAAATATAACGTTTGGTAGGTGTAGTACGTGGTAAGCAACGCGTGGTAAGTGCAGCACGTGGTAAATACAACGCGTGGTAAGTGCAGTACGCGGTAAAGAACGCGTGGTAAATACAGTGCGTGGTAAATACAACGCGTGGTAAGTACTACGCGCTCAGCCGCTAGCTCGAAGCTGTCGCTCTCGCGTCCGCGCATGCGTAATCCCGCGCTCAGATTGGTCCGTGTTTTTCCTTAATAATTCAAAAACGAAGCTTCAAAGCCTATTTTTGCAAAGGGAAATCTTATTCAGAATCACGTCAGCTACCTCCCATTTCTGGGACCTACACTAATTGCGAGGCACTCTGTATAGAGTAGTATTAATAATTTGATGATTATAAGCTCCACTGATGTCTCTAAAATAAAATATGATTATAGTTGGCCACCCCAGACGAAAAATCCACCACAGAGTCTGTGGGAAGTCCCACATTGTCGAAGATCAAAAGGAAGTTCTCCCAGGTGAGTTCCGACGAGGAGGGCTCTGATGAATTAGATAACGAACCCCTGCAAGCGAGACTCGACAGACTGGCGTTGGAAGACAGCACGGATGATCCAGATTTCAATGTAAGTACAATAATTAAAGGAACATTACGTACAGAACCATTTGTTCAGTATAAGAATCCAGATATTTAGGAATACAGCAATATAAAAATGAAAAAAGAAAGAAAGTCGATCATTGCATTTTAATTGCATAAGATTAATATTGTATTTAATATTTTTGTAAATAACTAGATATTTCAACAACACCATACTTTGGTATTTAAGCGATCTAACTTTTCGAAAATGGTGACCAAACTACTAATATTAACCGTGACACAGTTAACAGAAATACTCTCTGAGATGAGGAAAGACGCAGTCGTATGATCATGTCTAATTGTTTAAATACAAATATACATGTATCGAAAATTCGATTTAATTATATGTTTATACTATATTAATTGGGTTAACATTTGCACGACCATTTTATGGATATATTTTGGAGCAAAATATGCCTCTGATAATTTTAAGTTTTTAATTACGAACTTGGCAATTTGTAAATTTACAAATATTGCAAATGAAAAAATGAGCTGAACGGCACAATTGATAAAGAAGAGTGATTCGAAGATTGAATAAAAATTTTTCAGCCAGCGGAATGCAGCACAGAATCAAGTGCAGCAAGCAGCGAGGCCGAAGCGGAAAATGAAGTGTGTCCAAGCGAATTGTTAGAAATCCAAGAAGAAGTTAACGAGTTGATGAACACCAGCGAAGAGAAGGCTGTCCTAAGGTCTCTTGAACATCTGGTAAAAGCAATATATGTAATAATACTGTGTTCGTATTGTATCTCGTGTTTAATGTGGTAATAAGATGAAATTCAATCGATCGACTGACATAGATTTCCAATCCGAATTTCCGAACTTAAACACCCTAAACTCTAACTTCCAAACTTCCTAAATTTCTGAATTGCAAAATCTACAATAAACATTTCACCTGAGGCAATCTATCTTTTAGTAGACATGATTTTGAATAAGATTTCCCTCTGCAAAAATGGGATTTGAAGCTTCGGTTTTGAATTATTAAGGAAAACACGGACCAATCAGAGCGCGAGGATTACGCATGCGCAGACGCGAGAGCGACAGCTTCGAGCTAGCGGCTGAACGCGTAGTACTTACCACGCGTTGTATTTACCACGCACTGCATTTACCACGCGTTCTTTACCACGTACTGCACTTACCACGCGTTGTATTTACCACGTGCTGCACTTACCACGCGTTGCTTACCACGT